CGGAACGAGTCGGTAAAATACTTGCGGTAAATAAAAACAAATCTCCCACTTTAAAATCGTAAGCGTGCTTGATCGGGTTGTACCACTGACGGATCAAGTAATAAAACTCTTCCATCGGGCACTTCCCAATCTCGTGGGTTTCTCCACAGCCTCGACACACGAACAGGCAACTATCTGATGGACGGCTCTTCTTCCCACAGCGATCGCAGGTCAGCCTCTTCGAACAACCCAAGTCTCCATGCTTCCTGGATCCACAAGGGGCGCATCTTGCACTTGGGGTCGCCGACGCCGTGCGAGGTCCATGGTTCTTGGTCGAGGGTCGGGGCTGATCGACCTCTCTGATGGGTCGGTCCTTCGTGGTCCTTGGACCTAGGTCCTTCTCCGTCTTCGTGAAATGAGATAGACCTTCCGTAGGTCACCGTCACTATCATAATTGTCCAAACTGGAGTCTTCGAAGCTTGATCTTTCCTGCATAGCTCAAACTACATGGACGGAGCGGCGATTCAACTCTCTTGAAAGATCAGGGGAATCAGTGCTTTCTGGCGAAACTCGCTCGACCCGAATAGCATCTTGCCCCGTCGAGCCTTCGTCCGTTCACGCGCTTTCAGTACATCTTCCAACCCTTCCACATCAGCCAAACGTAACACAATCAGCTGGTCCGCCAGGTCCGTGTTGTCCAAGGTCTTGATGTAGTGTCCGAAATGTTACTTTTGAATCTTGGGCGGCCCATCCTTGATATTGATCCTCGCTCGAAGTCCAATGACATATAGACGGTACAGGTAGTCTAGAAAGGATTCATCCGACCTTTTCTTCGCGTGGTAATATTGGCGGGCCACTGGTACCCCCAAACCACAGAACTGCATCTGGAATTCCCGTAATAAGTCTTTCCAATTTCCTCGAACAGAGCGACCTAGTTGACGATACCAGTTCTGGACAGGTCCAGTCAATACCTCCAAAAAATGAAACGCTTTTCCCCATCTGGAGCTTGGTCCCTTGTGAACGCGGTCTTCACAGTGGTCACCCAGCTGCGTGCTCGGTCCTCATCTTGTTCTTTACCATGAAACTCTTTGAGATCCGAGGTCGCTGAGAGTTTAATACGAGGAACCATGGTGGGCACCCGTCCCAGGGTGGCGTTGGCCATTCTCGCCAGAGGTCCATCGAGGTCCATGTCATCTGGGTCGTCACTGCTTGAGCGTTCTATTCCTCCTGATGAATTTAGTATCTTTTTACTAGTCTCTTTGAGACACGGTTACAACAACCGATAAGCACAAGCTTACGAGCTAGCATAGGAGGGTTAAGCACCCTAAGACGTAGAAGCTATCTGAGCTTGTCTTCCTCTGCACATAGTGCATACATAGCTTTGTGACAGTAGTGTGAATACTTCTTCTGCACAAAGTGCATCTGCACATAGTGCATAAGTAGCTTAGCTACAGTAGCTCGGCTACACCTGGTAGCACTTGTTGGTTAATCCCGCACCTGGGTTTGCGACTACTTTTTTGTGTGAGAATGGATGTCAGCGATTGGCCTTTCACAGGCACAACAGGATGGGTTGCAGAAGCTGCTCCATATCTTGGGCCCTAAGGGCGTGGAGTACCTCATCGCCCAGGGCGAAGAAGAGGTTAACAAGCGTATTCATATGCTTGATAAATATAATAAAGCTCTAGTTGAGCATGTAAAGGCACAGATGCCTTCTTCTGCGCCTTTGCTAATGGCGACTATGGCGCAAGAAGTGGTCCACAGACCAAAACCCATACAAATGGAAGTCAATAAGTTCGACGGCAAAGAAGGTGACAACCTTATGTTTTGGTTCCGACAGGTTGAGTCGGCTATGCTTATAGCCGACATCACCTATGAACCGTACCGTGTGGGCTTTGCCACGGGCAAGTTAGGTGGTTAAGCCAACCAGTGGGATTCACATGTGGTGCATCACTGCAAGATGCTTTTCCCACATGGGTCGATCTGAAAGCTCAGATGTCCCGACAGTATGCACCGCCAACCCAGCACACCGTAATCATTCGCGGTTTTTGGCGTGTCGCCAAGGCAAGCGTGAGCTTGCGGCATATGTATAAGGGTTGAGAACTCTCATTGCTGCCATGGTCATAGACCCTATGCCTGAGGCAGTGACCGTCACGGTCTTCATGGAGGGCCTTCGAGTTGGCGTTGCCAGAACGGAAGTCTTCCAAATAAACCTGTCCTCATTCGAGGAAGCGTTTGGAGTGGCATGTAATTCCGAAACCAACTTTAAGGCCGCTAGGCCTACCACTTATAACTACTCGTCTGATGGGTCTGTCTGTACCCATGGACTGTAGTCAAGTGGAGGATGAAGAAGCTGAGCTTCAAGCTGCGGAGCAGCAAATTGTGCGCAGATGTTATATCTGCAAGAGCACAGGCCATTTGATGGCAAAATTCCCTGCAAGAAAGGCATATTTGGCCTCGAAGGGCCGACGCTCCATGGGTAAACCTTCTGGTTTGCCGCGGGGAAACGGCGGAACCCAGTAGGCGCGGGGCGCGCTACAGGGGAAGAACTGAGTTCTGTTGAACCTCCAGGAGGTAGAAGGTAACAGGGCCCAGCACCAAAGCGACTTGAACTCTTAAAAACGGAACGAGAATGCAAGCCAGGCTTGCTAGTCGTCGAATGGAAGGTTAAGGGCTATTATAAGCCATGAATCATTTTAATCGATTCGGAGGCATCGGGCAACTATGTGCGCCGTGCCACCGTGGAAGGTAGTCAGCAGTATGCTGAAGCGCTTGTAGCGCGTGAAAGTGACACAGTCACAGTTCGCTTAGCGACTGGTACGCGTGTTACGGCACCCAAAAGTACCGGTAGACTTAAATGTATAGTTTTTGGACTTAAACAGTACGGAACGCGGTTTAGCCTTAGACCTAGATGCGAGGTATCACCTCATCCTAGGCATGACATGGCTAGAACGTCATAGGCCATGGATTGATTGGAGGTCGAAGACCTTAGAAGCAACGCGCAATGCTACTGATGAGGCTCTGAAGAGTCATGAACCCACCTCTGCTAGGAAGCAAAAGCGCTTTTGGCGCGGATATTGGACCGAGTCGGTCAATATGTTAGATGTCGGGTTATCCGACTGTAAGTGTCGAGGACAATAGTCCTGTACGAGGCTCAATGAATGTCGATATTGTGGTTGAGAACCCACTAGATGGCACATATGACATGTGTCGTGAGAATGATGTTACATCATTAAACACCGTGAGTGGTGTTGGTGGCTGCAAGCCAAGATGTCAGGGACACGAGTTCGAGTGACATGAGTGATGAGGAACTGACCCTGGAGGGCCGGGTGAAGTCATCAATGGATGTTATCTTTGAGGATAACGAGGTGCAAGCACCCAGTGACGAGGTACGGGTCCAAGAGGGTCGGGTGAAGTCAAAAATGACGGTTGTCTTTGAGGACAACGAGGTGCAAACACCTCATGACGAGGCATTGACCCAAGAGGGTGAGGTGCAGTCTGTAAACAAAGTGGTCTTTGACCTTGAGGTGTGTACACCTGTGGATGCTGATGCGTCGGATGCTTAGAGCATCATGAGTAGCGATGATGATATCGTGAGTGACGGTGATAGCAAACAGCTATATACACTCGTCAATGGTTTGACTTGGGGATGTTAAAGAGCCGGTGGCTCTTTCATCAATACCCGCAGTAGGTGCTCTGTAAGAGCTGCACGAGTTGTCCTTTGCCGAGTTTGGCATTGCCTTACAGGCAGGCGAGATCACCGAAGTGGTCGTTATACGACCTGAGGAGGAGTTGAACTCCTCATCGCTTTTGGATAAAGCAGTTCTTGAAGATATCAAGAAGGCGCTGAATGCGCTTAGTGGATCGCAGATCCTGAAAGACACTTCGGATCCTCATTTTCCTTTGTTGAAGGAATATGGAGATGTTGTCTCCAGAGAACCTCCGACGAGTTTACCTCCGGATAGAGGTGTACGTCATGAGATTGACTTGGTTTCAGGAACCAAATATTGTGTGACGCGAAAGTGGCCGCTGCCACGAGAACAATGTGACGTCATTGACGAGTTCTTTCGTGCAAAGCACGCGGCTGGCATGGTGCGTGAGAGTAAGTCTCCTCACTCTACGCCCACGTTTTGTGTAAGAAAGCCTAATGGGAAGTGGCGAATAGTGCATGCTTATAATAAGATGAATGCAGCCACTATCCCGACTCAAACACCGATTTCTCGCAAGGATGTTCTCAGAACAATATGGTGGGATGTACGATGTACAGTGCCCTCGACTTAGTCGATGGATATTACCAACTGCTCATGCGAGCTAGTGATATCCCGCTGACAGCGGTCAGCACTCCGAGCGGTATGCTTTGGGAGTGGTTGTTTTGACCCCATAGGGCGTATGCACAGACATAATTTGACGATATATTCGTTCATAGTCGAGCCAAAAATGTCAAGACTAATGTGGAGATCACATCGAGCACCTTCAAGCTGTGCTCGGTTGCATGAGGATGCATAAGTTGTATGCCACTATTGACAAATGCATCTTCGGTGCGGAAGAGATTCCCTTTTTGGGATGCTTCATTGGGGAGCGAGGAATCCGGGCAGACCCTGTTAAGGTCAACACCATAGTGGATTGGCCGTTTCCGAGGAACAAAAAGGACCTCCGCAAGTGGTTGGGTTTGGCGATTTGCTTGCACAAGTATAGCCACAACTATGCGGAAGTGGCTAGGCCATTGTCAAATCTCCTTAAACAGGATGTGGAATGGTGTTGCAACACCGAGCACCACGAGGCTTTTGAAGCCATTCAGGAAAGTCTCCTTCAGGCAACAATTCTGGCTCTACCTGATCCTGATCGCCCGTTTAGTGTAGTGTGTGACTCTTCGGATTTTTCCTTTGGCAGTGCACTTTTGCAAGTTGACTCTGAGGGTCGAGAACGCGTCATCGAGTTTGAGTCTCGCCAGCTGAAAGCTGCAGAAAAGAAGTATCCAGTTCATGACAAGGAGCTACTGGTGATGAAGTATGCCCTTGTTATGTTCAGGGTACACCTGCTGGGATCAAAGCCGTTTGTTATCCATACCGATCATTCGTCATTACGCATAGCGACACAGTCGCCTCATCTCTCGCAGACAAAAGCTCGTTGGCTCTCCTTTTTCGCGGAGTATAACTTCGAGGTGAAGTATAAGCCGGGAAAACAGAAGTTTTGGGCTGACGCGTAATCGCGAAGACCTGACTTTTTTCCAATGTCGCGCTCTTCGCCGTTGGGCAGAACCACTCGTTCGATGATGGTTCCCACACCCTTGATTGCGGCCTTGTTGCCGTCAGCCACCAACAGTTCACCTTCATCTTGCTCATTCAGCGTCGTGAACTTGGCCTTGTTGTTGCATACATGGTGCGTTGCTCCACTGTCAATCGCCCACATTCCAGGCATGCTCTTGCCCGTCGATAGTCCTGCTTCCAGCGAAACCGCAAACGCTACTCGATCGTAATCGTCGTCGTAGTTGTTGCTGCTGGTTCGCCACTGCACATTGTTGGCTCCGCGTCCTCGGTTGTTACCGCCGCGTCGAGCACCTTGATTCTCATCCTTCTGCTTGGTCCAGCACCGCTCTGCCGTGTGCCCCAATTTTCCGCAGTACGTACACTGGCGAGGCTCGCGCTCGGTGCTGAAAGCCTTGGCCGCTTCTTCAACTTTCACCGATGCCGTCTTCTCGCCTTGCTTCTTGATGTGCTCATTCGTAAGCACCCTCACAATGTCTCTTGATCGTAATTCAGCGCTGTTCATCTCCAAATTCAGCACGACATTCTCGTAGCTCTTGGAGCAGACTGCGCAACAAACAGATCGCCACGTCTTCGTCCTCCATCTTGGCGCCGATGCTGGTAAGCTTGGCGCTGATGTTGAGAACCTCGTTGCAATGATGCATCACATTGCCGCCTTCCTTCATCTCCATACTGAAGAGCTGGCGCTTCAGAAAAATGCGCCCAGCCTTCTGCGATCCACCGTAAAGCGTCTTCAAACGCGCCCATGCGACCCATGCTTCCTCACAATCATCAACCACGTGATGATAGTCGGCGTCCATGTGGAGCAACATCAGTCCAAACGCGATGTTGCTCGACCGGACGTAATCTTCCATGGGACGAGGGTCCGCGAAGGTCGGCGTCGTCTCACGGTTAACGACGTGCCAGACCGACTTGGTCAGGAACACGCCACGCATGTAACGACTCCAAGTCGCGTAGTTGTCCCCATCAAACTTATCGATGGAGACCTTGGAGGACACGTCTTGGGCAGTGGACATCGTACTTGGGCTCATAACCTGATGGAAGGTATGAGTCTTGGTCTTGCGAGGGCTTGGTTGGGGGCGGAGGAAGTCTGCACTTGAAGGGTGAAGACGACTTGAGCTGGAGAAAGTAAATTGGAAAGTGATTGATTTATAAGAGCTTATTCTATCTACCAACTGATTTATATGTAGTCCACATATAAATCAGTTGCGACTGTTCACGTCCTGATTATATGTAGTCACATATAATCAGTTGTGACTGTTCACGTCCTGACTTATATGTAGTCCACATATAAATCATGTAGATCTTCCTATCAAGCTACTCGTCTAATCAACTATGACGTAATTACCTGTAAGAACTCTGCCGTAAATACTAAGCCTTAGAGTTTGGATTGTACCGGTAACCCTCAATACGCCCCCTCAATGCGAACTCGCATGAATACCGAGTGCAGCCGTCAAGTCCTTGTGACGAGGTCCCGGAAGTGCCTTCGTCAAGATGTCCGCGAGCATGATGGAAGTCTCACAATGCTCAAGCTCCACTTCACCACGCTTGACTTCATCACGGATGTGATGGTACTTGATGTCGATGTGTTTTGCACGACCATGGTTGACGGGATTCTTCGTCATCTTGATGCAGGACTGGTTGTCTTCGAGAATCTTCAGTCCAGGTGCCGACTTGTTTGACGCTGCTAGAATTTTGATCAGCAGTCGGTGAACCCACTTGCCTTCTTGGATCGCTAAGCTGAGTGCAATGTACTCAGCTTCGCTCGTTGAAAGCGACACACTTGACTGCTTCTTGCTGTCCCCAACTGATTGGTGCGCTCATCAACAGAAACGCATATCCCGAAGTCGACTTGCGGTCGGAATGGTCTCCAGCCCAGTCCGCATCAGAGTATCCACGAAAATCAACTTCTTCACCAGGCTTGAAACAAATTCCATGTGACTTGGTCCCTTGCAGATAGCGCAAGATACGCTTCACTGCAATCCAGTGCTCGACTTGGGGGTTTTCCATGAAACGCGATACGTACCCCACAGCAAAAGCTATGTCTGGGCGTGTTGCGGTCGTCAGATGCATGAGCGCCCCCACAGCTTCTCAAAATGGAGCGCTTACCTTGGTCAATGCATCGCTTCGAGTCAGTCGAGTGCTCACATCAGCTGGGCTTATTGCAGCCTTGCAGTCTTCCATCCCAAAGCGCTTCAGAATGTCATCCACATAGCATCGTTGGCACATCGTCACGCTATTGTCAGCGTTTTCGACCAGTTCTAGGCCCAACACAAAAGCACACTTGCCACTGTCGGTCATCTCGAAGGGCGTCTTGAGGTCGCTCTTGGTGCACGCAATGAGTTCCGTCGAGCTCCCAGTCACCAGCAACATCGTCCACGTAGACCAGCAACAGTACGCAGTGACCGCTCCACAATCTTGATGTAAAGGCACGGATCATAGGCCGAAACTTGAAAGTCGATGGAGCAAACAAACTCGTCGAAGGTCTCGTTCCATACACGAGAAGCTTGCTTGAGACCGTAGATTGCCTTCACCAACTCGAGGCAGTTGAAGTCTCCGTCCAATTCGACGCCTTCTGGAACCGCGCAGTACACCGTTTCTTTCATCACACCATAGAGAAAAGCTGTGACCACGTCAAGTTGGTCAAGAGGCCAGCCAAAGTACTTGGTAATCGCGACCACCATGCGCAGCGTCACATACTTGACCACTGGTGAGAATGTCTCCGTGTAGTCGATGCCGTACTTCTGCTTGAAGCCCTTGGCCACAAGTCGTGCCTTGTACTTCTCGATTGAAGCGTCCGCTTTTTGCTTGATCTTGAACACCCACTTGGTTCCAATAGCTTGTTGTCCTTTTGGCAATACAGCCGCACGAAATACTCCACAAAGTTGCATCGACTTGAGCTCTGCGTTGATTGCTTCACGCCAGTGAGCTTTGTCGGGTCCGTTTACCGCGTCTTGAAATGTCGTTGGCTCTGACAGATCGCTCACTTCAACTGCGTTGACACTTGCTCGCCAAAACATTGGAGGAGTCGAGACGCTATCTTCATCATCATGGTTGTCCTTTTCTTCTTCTTCTGACAGATCAGGTCCAGCATGCATGCCTGGTCGACTCTTCACTTGGCGCCGAAATGCGCGATCAGGAGCACTTGCTTCTTCGAGGCTAGCACCATGATGAGCTGGACGCGAGTAGGCATCCTTGCTGTTGGCGTCACTCGAACGGTCCTTGCGTTTTCCAGTCTGCTGGTACTGTACTGGACCTCCGTTGTCATCACTGATGTCGAGTCCACTGAAGTCCAGCGTAGCATCTTCGTCGTCATCACTTGCACTCATAGTCGAAATACCAACGATCGTCTCGTCAAAGGTGACATCGCGACTGTAATGGAAGGTATGAGTCTTGGTATTGCGAGGGCTTGGTTGGAGGCGGAGGAAGTCTGCACTTGAAGAGTGGATACTTGTGCTGGAGAAAGTGAATTGAAAGTGATTGATTTGTAAGAGCTTATTATCTACCAACTGATTCATATGTAGTCATGAGCTTGCTCACCTCACGGTTGTGAGTTCGTCAGTAACGGATCGTATCCGTGTGGCGTATGCATGCGATAAGGCATGTGTTGCCATTCTGCAGGCGCTGGGTAGCGTTGAGTTTGAAAACTCTTAGATAAAGTTGTCACCACGTAATCGTGCGAGATTACATCGTTATGCACTGACCGATGGTCTGTTGTACAATAGTACGGGGTCGGATGACCAGCCTCGTGTTTTGGTGCCTCATGATGAGGACCTCAAGTATCAGATACTTTATGAGGCTCATGATACAAAACTTGGTGGTTATTTAGGTCGTTAGAAGACCTACAGCTCGGTGTGCACCCATTATTGGTGGCACACGTTGTACAAATGGGTGGTACCTACGTACGCACGTGTGAAACGTGTCAAAGAGTGAATCCCTCGCCTAATACTGCGCCTTTGGCGATTTTGCCTGTACCCTCGGGGTTGTGGCAGTCCATTAGTATGGACTTTATGCTTGGCCTACCGTGTGATGCGGCAGGCAACACTGGGATTGTGGTCGTTGCTGACCGACTGAGCAAGATGGCTCACTTAGCGGCAGTGCCGGACTCCATTGATGGAAAAGAAACAGCTAAGCTGTTCATGAATCTTATGTTTAGGCAACACGGATTGCCCGTGGCAATTGTCTCGGATAGAGACTCCCGTTTTACGGGTAAGTTTTGGACGTCCGTCTTTAAAGTGCTGGGCACTCGACTGGACATGACACGGCGGATCACCCGCAGACCGATGGTCAGACTGAACGCGTCAATTGCGTTATTGGCGATATGGTTCGCAGTGTTTGTAATGAAACACCAAGCAATAGAGCACGATGCTCCCTCTGGTCGAGTTTGCGTTGAACAACGCGGTGCATGCCTCGACAGGCTTCACCCCATTTATGTGGATGGTTTGGTTAGCCCTCGCGTTTTTTTTTAATGCTACACCCTGCCACATCAGGGCTTAGTGGGGAGAGATAGTCGAAGGCTTGGCTGATATCAGTCCTGTTGCTACGCGAAAAAAGGTGGAAGCGTTTCTGTTAACGCGTTTTGACGTATTACGTCGCGTCAAAGACGCTATGGCTGAAAGCCAGGATGTTCAGAAGGAGCAAGCATGTAACAAAGGCAGAAATGATAAACACCTTCTGCAGTTTACCGTAAAGCGTCTCCAAACGCGCTCATGCGATTCATGCTTCTATCGAGGGTTACCGATAATATCCGAACTCTAAGTCTTAGTATTTACGGCAGAGTTCTTACAGATAATTACGTCATAGTTGATTTGACGAGTAGCTTGATAGGAAGATCTACATGATTTATATGTGGACTACATATAAGTCAGGACGTGAACAGTCACAACTGACTGATATGTGAACTACATATCAATCAACTGAACAGTCGCAACTGATTTATATGTGGACTACATATAAATCAGTTGGTCGATATATAAGCTCTTACAAATCAATCACTTTCTAATTTACTTTCTCCAGCACAAGTATCCACTCTTCAAGTGCAGACTTCCTCCGCCTCCAACCAAGCCCTCGCAAGACCAAGACTCATACCTTCCATCACAGTCGCGATGTCACCTTTGACGAGACGATCGTTGGTATTTCGACTATGAGTGCAAGTGGTGACGACGAAGATGCTACGCTGGACTTCAGTGGACTCGACATCAGTGATGACAACGGAGGTCCAGCACAGTACCAGCAGACTGGAAAACGCAAGGACCGTTTGAGTGACGCCAACAGCAAGGATGCCTACTCGCGTCCTGCTCATCATGGTGCTAGTCTCGAAGAAGCAAGTGCTCCTGATCGCGCATTTCGGCGCCAAGTGAAGAGTCGACCAGGCATACATGCTAGACCTGATCTGTCAGAAGAAGAAGAAAAGGACAACCATGATGATGAAGATAGCGTCTCGACTCCTCCAATGTTTTGGCGAGCAAGTGTCAACGCAGTTGAAGTGAGCGATCTGTCAGAGCCAACGACAACTCAAGACGCGATGAACGGACCCGACAAAGTTCACTGGCGTGAAGCAATCAACGCAGAGCTCAAGTCGATGCAACTTTGTGGAGTATTTCGTGCGGCTGTATTGCCAAAAGGACAACAAGATATTGGAACCAAGTGGGTGTTCAAGATCAAGCAAAAAAGCGGACGCTTCAATCGAGAAGTACAAGGCACGACTTGTGGCCAAGGGCTTCAAGCAGAAGTACGGCATCGCCTACACGGAGGCATTCTCACCAGTGGTCAAGTATGTGACGCTGCGCATGGTGGTCGCGATTACCAAGTACTTTGGCTGGCCTCTTGGCCAACTTGACGTGGTCACAGCTTTTCTCTATGGTGTGACGAAAGAAACGGTGTACTGCGCGGTTCCAGAAGGCGTCGAATTGGACGGAGACTTCAACTGCCTCGAGTTGGTGAAGACAATCTACGGTCTCAAGCAAGCTTCTCGTGTATGGAACGAGACCTTCGACGAGTTTGTTCGCTCCATCGACTTTCAAGTTTCGGCCTAAAATCCGTGCCTCTACATCAAGATTGTGGACGGTTACTGCGTACTGTTGCTAGTCTACGTGGACGATGTGCTGGTGACTGGGAGCTCGACGGAACTCATTGCGTGTACCAAGAGCGACCTCAAGACGCGCTTCGAGATGACCGACAGTGGCAAGTGTGCTTTTGTGTTGGGCAAGAACTGGTCGAAACGCTGACAATAGCGTGACGATGTGCCAGCGCCGCTATGTGGATGACATTCTGAAGCGCTTTGGGATGGAAGACTGCAAGGCTGCAATAAGCCCAGCTGATGTGAGCACTCGACTGACTCGAAGCAATGCATTAACCAAGGTAAGCGCTCCATTTCGAGAAGCTGTGGGGGGCGCTCATGCATCTGACGACCGCAACACGCCCAGACATAGCTTTTGCTGTGAGGTACGTATCGCGTTTCTTGGAAAACCCCCAAGTCGAGCACTGGATTGCAGTGAAGCGTATTTTCCGCTATCTGCAAGGGACCAAGTCACATGGAATTTGTTTCAAGCCTGGTGAAGAAGTTGATTTTTGTGGATACTCCGATGCGGACTGGTCTGGAGACTATTCTGACCGCAAGTCAACTTCGGGATATGCATTTCTGTAGATGAGCGCACCGATCAGTTGGGGCAGCAAGAAGCAGTCAAGTGTGTCGCTTTCAACGAGCAAAGCTGAGTACATTGCACTCAGCTTAGCGATCCAAGAAGGCAAGTGGGTTCACCGACTGCTGATCAAAATTCTATCAGCGTCAAATAATTCGGCTCCTGGACTTAAGATTCTCGAAGACAACCAGTCCTGCATCAAGATGACAAAGAATCCCGTCAACCATGGTCGTGCAAAACACATCGACATCAAGTACCATCACATCCGTGATGAAGTCAAGCGTGGTGAAGTGGAGCTTGAGCATTGTGAGACTTCCATCATGCTTGCGGACATCTTGACGAAGGCACTTCCGGGACCTCGTCACAAGGACTTAACGGCTGCACTCGGTATTCATGCGAGTTCGCATTGAGGGGGCGTATTGAGGGTTACCGGAACAATCCGAACTCTAAGGCTTAGTATTTACGGCAGAGTTCTTACAGATAATTACGTCATAGTTGATTTGACGAGTAGCTTGATAGGAAGATCTACATGATTTATATGTGGACTACATATAAGTCAGGACGTGAACAGTCACAACTGACTTATATGTGAACTACATATCAAGAACAGTCGCAACTGATTTATATGTGGACTACATATAAATCAGTTGGTAGATAGAATAAGCTCTTACAAATCAATCACTTTCTAATTTACTTTCTCCAGCACAAGTATCCACTCTTCAAGTGCAGACTTCCTCCGCCTCCAACCAAGCCCTCGCAAGACCAAGACTCATACCTTCCATCACAGTCGCGATGTCACCTTTGACGAGACGATCGTTGGTATTTCGACTATGAGTGCAAGTGGTGACGACGAAGATGCTACGCTGGACTTCAGTGGACTCGACATCAATGATGACAACGGAGGTCCATCACAGTACCAGCAGACTGGAAAACGCAAGGACCGTTTGAGTGACGCCAACAGCAAGGATGCCTACTCGCGTCCTGCTCATCATGGTGCTAGTCTCGAAGAAGCAAGTGCTCCTGATCGCGCATTTCGGCGCCAAGTGAAGAGTCGACCAGGCATACATGCTAGACCTGATCTGTCAGAAGAAGAAGAAAAGGACAACCATGATGATGAAGATAGCGTCTCGACTCCTCCAATGTTTTGGCGAGCAAGTGTCAACGCAGTTGAAGTGAGCGATCTGTCAGAGCCAACGACAATCTCAAGACGCGATGAACGGACCCGACAAAGCTCACTGGCGTGAGCAATCAACGCAGAGCTCAAGTCGATGCAACTTTGTGGAGTATTTCGTGCGGCTGTATTGCCAAAAGGACAACAAGATATTGGAACCAAGTGGGTGTTCAAGATCAAGCAAAAATCGGACGCTTCAATCGAGAAGTACAAGGGCACGACTTGTGGCCAAGGGCTTCAAGCAGAAGTACGGCATCGCCTACACGGAGGCATTCTCACCAGTGGTCAAGTATGTGACGCTGCGCATGGTGGTCGCGATTACCAAGTACTTTGGCTGGCCTCTTGGCCAACTTGGGACGTGGTCACAGCTTTTCTCTATGGTGTGACGAAAGAAACGGTGTACTGCGCGGTTCCAGAAGGCGTCGAATTGGACGGAGACTTCAACTGCCTCAAGTTAGTGAAGACAATCTACGGTCTCAAGCAAGCTTCTCGTGTATGGAACGAGACCTTCGACGAGTTTGTTCGCTCCATCGACTTTCAAGTTTCGGCCTAAAATCCGTGCCTTTACATCAAGATTGTGGACGGTTACTGCGTACTGTTGCTAGTCTACGTGGACGATGTGCTGGGGGAGGGGGGTGGTGACTGGGAGCTCGACGGAACTCATTGCGTGTACCAAGAGCGACCTCAAGACGCGCTTCGAGATGACCGACAGTGGCAAGTGTGCTTTTGTGTTGGGCATAGAACTGGTCGAAAACGCTGACAATAGCGTGACGATGTGCCAGCGACGCTATGTGGATGACATTCTGAAGCGCTTTGGGATGGAAGACTGCAAGGCTGCAATAAGCCCAGCTGATGTGAGCACTCGACTGACTCGAAGCGATGCATTAACCAAGGTAAGCGCTCCATTTCGAGAAGCTGTGGGGGCGCTCATGCATCTGACGACCGCAACACGCCCAGACATAGCTTTTGCTGTGAGGTACGTATCGCGTTTCATGGAAAACCCCCAAGTCGAGCACTGGATTGCAGTGAAGCGTATTTTCCGCTATCTGCAAGGGACCACGTCACATGGAATTTGTTTCAAGCCTGGTGAAGAAGTTGATTTTCGTGGATACTCCGATGCGGACTGGGCTGGAGACCATTCCGAACGCAAGTCAACTTCGGGATATGCGTTTCTGTAGATGAGCGCACCAATCAGTTGGGGAAGCAAGAAGCAGTCAAGTGTGTCGCTTTCAACGAGCGAAGCTGAGTACATTGCACTCAGCTTAGCGATCCAAGAAGGCAAGTGAGTTCACCGACTGCTGATCAAAATTCTATCAGCGTCAAATAATTCGGCACCTGGACTTAAGATTCTCGAAGACAACCAGTCCTGCATCAAGATGACAAAGAATCCCGTCAACCATGGTCGTGCAAAACACATCGACATCAAGTACCATCACATCCGTGATGAAGTCAAGCGTGGTGAAGTGGAGCTTGAGCATTGTGAGACTTCCATCATGCTCGCGGACATCTTGACGAAGGCACTTCCGGGACCTCGTCACAAGGACTTAACGGCTGCACTCGGTATTCATGCGAGTTCGCATTGAGGGGGCGTATTGAGGGTTACCGGTACAATCCGAACTCTAAGGCTTAGTATTTACGGCAGAGTTCTTACAGATAATTACGTAGCATAGTTGATTAGACGAGTAGCTTGATAGGAAGATCTACATGATTTATATGTGGACTACATATAAGTCAGGACGTGAACAGTCACAACTGACTTATATGTGAACTACATATCAAGATGAACAGTCGCAACTGATTTATATGTGGACTACATATAAATCAGTTGGTAGATAGAATAAGCTCTTACAAATCAATCACTTTCTAATTTACTTTCTCCAGCACAAGTAGTCTCCACTCTTCAAGTGCAGACTTCCTCCGCCTCCAACCAAGCCCTCGCAAGACCAAGACTCATACCTTCCATTCACAGTCGCGATGTCACCTTTGACGAGACGATCGTTGGTATTTCGACTATGAGTGCAAGTGGTGACGGACGAAGATGCTACGCTGGACTTCAGTGGACTCGACATCAATGATGACAACAAGAGGTCCAGCACAGTACCAGGCAGACTGGAAAACGCAAGGACCGTTCGAGTGACGCCAACAGCAAGGATGCCTACTCGCGTCCTGCTCATCATGGTGCTAGTCTCGAAGAAGCAAGGTGCTCCCTGATCGCGCATTTCGGCGCCAAGTGAAGAGTCGACCAGGCATACATGCTAGACCTGATCTGTCAGAAGAAGAAGAAAAGGACAACCATGATGATGAAGGATAGCGTCTCGGAAACTCCTCCAATGTTTTGGCGAGCAAGTGTCAACGCAGTTGAAGTGAGCGATCTGTCAAGGAGCCAACGTACAAGGAATTTGTTTCAAGACGCGGTGAAGAGTTGATTTTCGGGACCCGACAAAGCTCACTGGCGTGAAGCAATCCAACGCAGAGCTCAAGTCGATGCAACTTTGTGGAGTATTTCGTGCGGCTGTATTGACAAAAGGACAACAAGCTATTGGAACCAAGTGGGTGTTCAAGATCAAGCAAAGACATCGGACTCGCTTAGCAATCGAGAAGTACAAGGGTCACGACTTGTGGCCAAGGGCTTCAAGCAGAAGTACGGCATCGCCTACACGGAGACATTCTCGAAGACAACCAGTGGCTCAAGTATGGGGCTGACGCTGCGCATGGTGGTCGCGATTGACCAAGTGACTTTGGCTGGCCTCTTGGCCAACTTCCGGGACGTGGTCACAGGCTTTTCTCTATGGTGTGATGAAAGAAACGGTGTACTGCGGCGGTTCCAGAAGGCGTCGAATTGGACGGAGACTTCATACCTGCCTCAAGTTAGTGAAGGCAATCTACGGTCTCAAGCAAGCTTCTCGTGTATGGAACGAGACCTTCGACGAGTTTGTTCGCTCCATCGACTTTCAAGTTTCGGCCTATGATCCGTGCCTTTACATCAAGATTGTGGACGGTCACTGCGTACTGTTGCTAGTCTACGTGGACGATGTGCTGGTGACTGGGAGCTCGACGGAACTCATTGCGTGTACCAAGAGCGACCTCAAGACGCGCTTCGAGATGACCGACAGTGGCAAGTGTGCTTTTGTGTTGGGCATAGAACTGGTCGAAAACGCTGACAATAGCGTGACGATGTGCCAGCGACGCTATGTGGATGACATTCTGAAGCGCTTTGGGATGGAAGACTGCAAGGCTGCAATAAGCCCAGCTGATGTGAGCACTCGACTGACTCGAAGCGATGCATTAACCAAGGTAAGCGCTCCATTTTGAGAAGCTGTGGGGGCGCTCATGCACCTGACGACCGCAACACGCCCAGACATAGCTTTTGCTGTGAGGTACGTATCGCGTTTCATGGAAAACCCCCAAGTCGAGCACTGGATTGCAGTGAAGCGTATTTTCCGCTATCTGCAAGGGACCACGTCACATGGAATTTGTTTCAAGCCTGGTGAAGAAGTTGATTTTCGTGGATACTCCGATGCGGACTGGGCTGGAGACCATTCCGAACGCAAGTCAACTTCGGGATATGCGTTTCTGTAGATGAGCGCACCAATCAGTTGGGAAAGCAAGAAGCAGTCAAGTGTGTCGCTTTCAACGAGCGAAGCTGAGTACATTGCACTCAGCTTAGCGATCCAAGAAGGCAAGTGAGTTCACCGACTGCTGATCAAAATTCTATCAGCGTCAAATAAGTCGGCACCTGGACTTAAGATTCTCGAAGACAACCAGTCCTGCATCAAGATGACAAAGAATCCCGTCAACCATGGTCGTGCAAAACACATCGACATCAAGTACCATCACATCCGTGATGAAGTCAAGCGTGGTGAAGTGGAGCTTGAGCATTGTGAGACTTCCATCATGCTCGCGGACATCTTGACGAAGGCACTTCCGGGACCTCGTCACAAGGACTTAACGGCTGCACTCGGTATTCATGCGAGTTTGCATTGAGGGGGCGTATTGAGGGTTACCGGTACAATCCGAACTCTAAGGCTTAGTATTTACGGCAGAGTTCTTACAGATAATTACGTAATTAAGCATAGTTGATTAGACGAGTAGCTTGATAGGAAGATCTACATGATTTATATGTGGACTACATATAAGTCAGGACGTGAACAGTCACAACTGACATATGTGAACACTATCAAAACAGTCGCAACTGATTTATATGTGGACTACATATAAATCAGTTGGTAGATAGAATAAGCTCTTACAAATCAATCACTTTCTAATTTAACTTTCTCCAGAACAAGTAGTCTCCACTCTTCAAGTGCAGACTTCCTCCGCCTCCAACCAAGCCCTCGCAAGACCAAGACTCATACCTTCCATTCACAGTCGCGATGTCACCTTCTGGACGAGACGATCGTTGGTAGTTTCGACTATGACGTGCAAGTGGTGACGACGGAAGATGCTACGCTGGACTTCAGTGGACTCGACATCAGTGATGACAACGGGGAGGTCCATCACAGTACCAGGCAGACTGGCGAAAACGCAAGGACCGTTTGAGTGACGCCAACAGCAAGGATGCCTACTCGCGTCCTGCTCATCATGGTGCTAGTCTCGAAGAAGCAAGGTGCTCCTGATCGCGCATTTCGGCGCCAAGTGAAGAGTCGACCAGGCATACATGCTAGACCTGATCTGTCAGAAGAAGAAGAAAAGGACAACCATTTGATGATGAAGCGTATAGCGTCTCATGGAAACTCCTCCAATGTTTTGGCGAGCAAGTGTCAACGCAGTTGAAGTGAGCGATCTGTCAAGGAGCCAACGACAAGGAATTTGTTTCAAGACGCGGTGAAGAAGTTGATTCGGGACCCGACAAAGCTCACTGGCGTGAAGCCAATCCAACGCAGAGCTCAAGTCGGATGCAACTTTGTGGAGTATTTCGTGCGGCTGTATTGGCAAAAGGACAACAAGATATTGGAACCAAGTGGGTGTTCAAGATCGAAGCAAAGAATCGGACTCGCTTAGCAATCGAGAAGTACAAGGAGTCACGACTTGTGGCCAAGGGCTTCAAGCAGAAGTACGGCATCGCCTACACGGAGACATTCTCGAAGACAACCAGTGCGCTCAAGTATGGGGTGACGCTGCGCATGGTGGTCGCGATTGACCAAGTGACTTTGGCTGGCCTCTTGGCCAAGGCTTCCGGGACGTGGTCACAGGCTTGTGGTCTCTATGGTGTGACGAAAGAAACGGTGTACTGCGGGACCGGTTCCAGAAGGCGTCGAATTGGACGGCAGACTGGGGGGGGGGGGGGGGGAAAAAAAAAAAAAAAAAAAAAAAAAAAAAAAAAAATCATACCTGCCATCAGGTTAATGAAGGCAATCTACGGTCTCAAGCAAGCTTCTCGTGTATGGAACGAGACCTTCGACGAGTTTGTTCGCTCCATCGACTTTCAAGTTTCGGCCTATGATCCGTGCCTTTACATCAAGATTGTGGACGGTCACTGCGTACTGTTGCTAGTCTACGTGGACGATGTGCTGGGGGGGGGGTGACTGGGAGCTCGACGGAACTCATTGCGTGTACCAAGAGCGACCTCAAGACGCGCTTCGAGATGACCGACAGTGGCAAGTGTGCTTTTGTGTTGGGCATAGAACTGGTCGAAAACGCTGACAATAGCGTGACGATATGCCAGCGACGCTATGTGGATGACATTCTGAAGCGCTTTGGGATGGAAGACTGCAAGGCTGCAATAAGTCCAGCTGATGTGAGCACTCGACTGAATCGAAGCGATGCATTGACCAAAGTAAGCGCTCCATTTTGAGGAGCTGTGGGGGCGCTCATGCACCTGACGACCGCAACACGCCCAGACATAGCTTTTGCTGTGAGGTACGTATCGCGTTTCATGGAAAACCCCCAAGTCGAGCACTGGATTGCAGTGAAGCGTATTTTCCGCTATCTGCAAGGGACCACGTCACATGGAATTTGTTTCAAGCCTGGTGAAGAAGTTGATTTTCGTGGATACTCCGATGCGGACTGGGCTGGAGACCATTCCGAACGCAAGTCAACTTCGGGATATGCGTTTCTGTAGATGAGCGCACCAATCAGTTGGGAAAGCAAGAAGCAGTCAAGTGTGTCGCTTTCAACGAGCGAAGCTGAGTACATTGCACTCAGCTTAGCGATCCAAGAAGGCAAGTGAGTTCACCGACTGCTGATCAAAATTCTATCAGCGTCAAACAAGTCGGCACCTGGACTGAAGATTCTCGAAGACAACCAGTCCTGCATCAAGATGACAAAGAATCCCGTCAACCATGGTCGTGCAAAACACATCGACATCAAGTACCATCACATCCGTGATGAAGTCAAGCGTGGTGAAGTGGAGATTGAGCATTGTGAGACTTCCATCATGCTCGCGGACATCTTGACGAAGGCAATTCCGGGACCTCGTCACAAGGACTTAACGGCTGCACTCGGTATTCATGCGAGTTTGCATTGAGGGGGCGTGTTGAGGGTTACCGGTACAATCCGAACTCTAAGGCTTAGTATTTACGGCAGAGTTCTTACAGATAATTACGTAATTAAGTCATAGTTGATTAGACGAGTAGCTTGATAG